TCTCTTATATTGGCTGTTGGTTACAACAAAACTTAACTTTGGTGTCTCTCTCTCTCTCTCTCTCTAAAGAAAAGCATATTTGCTAATGTGAATTGTTATTTTCTCTCTCTCTCTCTCTCTCTGTTCTACTTAGTGGTGTCAGGTTCAATACAGGGCAGTCTCTCTCTCTCTCTCTCTCATATTATTCCCATTGTCACCTTGAAACAGCAAAGCAGATCAGCTCAGTATCAAATTGGGTAGCAAGCATACCCATTTCTCAGATCACTACACCCTCTCTCTCTCTCTCTCTCTCGAGAAAATTTTATAGTCAGTGTAGTATCCGGTATTGATCTCTCTCTCTCTCTCTCTCAGAATTTTTATATAGGGCCTTGCATAGCTGTAGATTGTCTCTCTCTCTCTCTCTCTCAGGATCGAGCTGTACAGGTTTCGGTTATGGAAAAATATGTCCATTCACTACTCATGAAGCCTTGGGACCTCTTTTCTGCATTACAACTAAAATATCTCTCTCTCTCTCTCTCTCCCATTAGAATGCAAGCCTAAGTGTGCAGGTTGGCAAGATTTCACAATAAAAAAAGATCTAGAAAAAAGAGGCCACATCTCTGATTGCCAGTCTATCTCTCTCTCTCTCTCTCTCGTAGCTTCACATAATGCTTACTAACATAGATGTTTGGTCTCTCTCTCTCTCTCTCTCCAAATTTCACAAAAAGTAAGATTGTTAACATTAACAAGCTGAGATTTGAATTTCAAATACATGCCACACTTCATATAGTTTTAATGTTTCCAATTCTCTCTCTCTCTCTCTCTCCTCTCCCTCTTGGTTTATGAAATGTAAAATGGGAAACCAAATGTATCCTCATGTAATCTGTTAATGACAGGGAACATATGACAATTTTGAAAGCTCTCTCTCTCTCTCTCTCTCATACTATGTGGACTAATTATAGTTTCTTTAATTTTCATCTCTCTCTCTCTCTCTCTCTAAGTTGAAGAAATGGAAACTGCAAATTACACCAAGGTCTCTCTCTCTCTCTCTCTCGGCCTATCCCAGACTTGGGAGGTCCAACTAGTCCTATTTGTTATATTTCTATCCTTCTATTTGTTCATCCTACCGGGAAATATCCTTATCATTTTCTCTCTCTCTCTCTCTCTCCATCTGACTTCTCCTATGTATTTCCTGTTGGCTAATCTCTCTCTCTCTCTCTCTCTCTACTCTTCCATTACAGCCCCTAAAATGCTCATAGACTTCTCTCTCTCTCTCTCTCTCATTTCCTTTGGTGGATGCATTGCACAGCTGTTCTTCTTCTCTCTCTCTCTCTCTCTCGAGATGTTCTTGCTCACAGTGATGGCCTTTGACCGCTTCTCTCTCTCTCTCTCTCTCCTCCACTATGCTACCATCATGAATCGACGTCTCTGCTTCTCTCTCTCTCTCTCTCTCTGGATGGGGGGCTTCATTCATTCTATAATACAGGTGGTCTCTCTCTCTCTCTCTCTCTTCTGTGGGCCCAATGAGTTAGACAGTTACTTCTGTGTCTCTCTCTCTCTCTCTCTCATTGCCTGTGCCAACACCTTCCCAGAGGAGTTAGTGATGATCTGTAGCAGTGGTCTGATCTCTGTGGTGTGTTTCATTGCTCTGTTAATGTCCTTCTCTCTCTCTCTCTCTCTCCTCAAGAAACATTCAGACTCAGGTAAGAATACCAAGAGGGCCATGTCCACCTGCTATTCCCACATTACCATTGTGGTGCTAATGTTTGGGCCATCCATCTACATTTATGCTCGCCCATTTGACTCTTTTTCCCTAGATAAAGTGGTATCTGTCTCTCTCTCTCTCTCTCTCCCTTTACTTAATCCCATTATTTACACACTGAGAAACATCTCTCTCTCTCTCTCTCTCAGGAAGTTGGTCACGAAATATATTTTGTGTAAAGAGAAGTGAAAGATAAATGATACATTTTATAGTCCTCCTGAGGATCATTGTCCTAAAGCAGGAAGCATTTGCAGTAATAATGCTGCATTCACTTCCTCCTTTCATTTGTGTTCTTTAAATTTTACTATAATTTTTCTCTATTAATTCCTCTTTATATTGAAAAAATAAGGCATTAAGATGAAAATAAATTTACTCACACCCACCCTGAAATTCCCGGCAGATCATTATTAGATCTCTCTCTCTCTCTCTCTCCTGCTAAAGTACATTTTAACTAATTGTTTATTGAGTATCTCTCTCTCTCTCTCTCTCACTTTGAGGAGAACGTGTTGAGAAAAATAAATAAGACTCTCTCTCTCTCTCTCTCTCAATATGAAGTAAATGGCAAGCATATGAATGTAGCTAGCTTCAAGTTAGCAAATAAATATTGTTTTCATGTTTCAGTGTTGGCTCAGTGGAATGGTATCTGGTAAACATCTTGCTGGGTCTGGAAAAACAGATTATTTGTCCTTTATCTCCTTCTCTCTCTCTCTCTCTCTCAAAATGAGGACTCATTTATACAAGGCATTTCAGTTTATCTCTCTCTCTCTCTCTCTCCAACAGTTTGGAGACACAACTCAAAATTTTATCACATTCTCTCTCTCTCTCTCTCTCATTCAAAGCAGAGTGTAATTTGGCTGATACATGAGATTCTCTCTCTCTCTCTCTCTCCCTCCAGGCAACTAGCAATTTTTATAGCCAGTCCTTATCTCTCTCTCTCTCTCTCTCAGTAGGCTTGGGGAGAAAGCTTCCAGGTTGACTGGGATCTCTCTCTCTCTCTCTCTCTAATTTTTTTTTCTAAACTATCATCTCATCTGCCACTTCTCTCTCTCTCTCTCTCTCGCTAATTCTGCCTCCCATGTTAAATTGGTAGGGTGCTGCTTTTGTTAGCACTTAATTCAGAGTTCTCTCCCATTGAGAGACCTAGATGTATTGGTCTCTCTCTCTCTCTCTCTCATTATTAGGGATTGATTTCCTATTCTCAGGCACTAAAAACTCAGTTACTCTCCAAGTTTCAGAATGTAAAAGGTAGATTAGAACATTTGATTTTTCTCTCTCTCTCTCTCTCTCTAAATTTATTAGTTTTAAATTTCAAAACTAGGAAATCTTTTCATTGAAGGGCAAGAATGCATTGAGTGTATTAAGCTTTAGTCTTCTTTTTTGAATTTGATAGTGTAATATGGACTAAATTTTAAGTGAATTAGATCCTTGTCAACATTAGTCTCTCTCTCTCTCTCTCTCATAACTATTCCTAGACTTACTAGTTATTTATAGAGATTCTCTCTCTCTCTCTCTCTCGTAATTTGTGCCAGACCCAGTGTACCTCGGATGCATAGGATGGAATGGTGGTACACAGAGCTTGTTTCCTGCTTTGGGAATTTTTCCTTATGGTTCTCTCTCTCTCTCTCTCTCGTTACCTTACTTCTCTTCTAGGAACGGAAAGACACGGTCTCTCTCTCTCTCTCTCTCTTTTGAGTTGACTTCTCGTTACCTGGAAGTGAATAAATCTCTCTCTCTCTCTCTCTCTTTGTAACATAGCATGAAAAAATATGAAGTACAAAAGTCTCTCTCTCTCTCTCTCTCAAATGATGTTATGTTTCTAAATCTTGTATCATCTTATTCTCTCTCTCTCTCTCTCTCCTGTATTTGATCTAGCCAGACTTCTATTCCTTTTGTCTCTCTCTCTCTCTCTCTCTCGGACTGATGTTCTTGGGAAAGGTGAGAGGTGACAACATCTCTCTCTCTCTCTCTCTCTCTCAGCACCTCCTCGGCCTGGGCACCCACTCTAGCCTCTCTCTCTCTCTCTCTCTCCCCGCAGCTGCACTGTGGGAGCCCCTCTCTGGGCTGATCTCTCTCTCTCTCTCTCTCCTCTGCTTGCGGGGAGGTGTAGAGGGAGAGGCACCTGTCTCTCTCTCTCTCTCTCTCTGCTCGCCAGCCAGCGTGAGTTCCGGGCAGGCAGGGGCTCCCAGGCAGTGAGAGGCTTAGCACCTGGGCCAGCAGCTACAGAGGGTGTGCCGGGTCTCTCTCTCTCTCTCTCTCGCCAGCTCTGCGCTCGAATTCTTGCTGGGCCTCAGCTTCTCTCTCTCTCTCTCTCTCCGCAGCCCGCCATGCCCAAGCCTCCCCTCTGCCATGGTCTCTCTCTCTCTCTCTCTCTCCCTGATGGGTGCTACCCCCTGTCCCGCAGCACCCGTCTCTCTCTCTCTCTCTCTCGCTGAGGAGTGTGGGCTGAGGGCGCACAGTGAGGGACTCTCTCTCTCTCTCTCTCTCGGCCCTGGTGCGGCATCCATTAGCTGAAGCCAGCTGGTCTCTCTCTCTCTCTCTCTCCTTGGAGAGCCTTTATGTCTACCTGAGGGATTGTGAATCTCTCTCTCTCTCTCTCTCGTCTAGCAAAAGGATTGTAAACACACCAATCAGTACTTCTCTCTCTCTCTCTCTCTCTAAATACACCAATCAGTACTCTGTATCTAGCTAACCTTCTCTCTCTCTCTCTCTCTCTTCTGTCTAGCACTCTGCGTCTAGCTCAGGGATTGTATCTCTCTCTCTCTCTCTCTCGTCAAAACGGACCAATCAGCTCTCTGTAAAACGGACCTCTCTCTCTCTCTCTCTCTCGACCAATCAGCTCTCTGCAAAATGGACCAATCAGCAGTCTCTCTCTCTCTCTCTCTCAGGGAACAAAAGCAGGCTGCCAAGCTAGCAGCTGCAACCCAGTAAGGTTCCCTTCCACAGTGTGGCAACTTTGTTCTTTTGCTCTTTAGGATCATCTCTCTCTCTCTCTCTCTCTTCGGTCCACGTACCCTCAATGAGGTATAATATTCACTCTCTCTCTCTCTCTCTCTCCTTCTGAAGCCAGCAAGACCACGAACCCACCAGAAGGAAGACACTGTGGACACATCTGAACATCTGAAGGAACAAACTCTGGACACACCATCTCTCTCTCTCTCTCTCTCTCTCGCTAGGGTCCGTGGCTTTATTCTTGAAGTCAGCGAGATCTCTCTCTCTCTCTCTCTCGACACGAAGGGACCACTGATTTGCTATGCTCTTGGAATCTCTCTCTCTCTCTCTCTCGAAGGATATTTACTGAAAACATTGAAGCTGGTAACACTCTCTCTCTCTCTCTCTCTCTAGTGTGATAACTAATTGCTTACTTAGGAATATTATCTCTCTCTCTCTCTCTCTCTCAATGAAGAAAAGGGGAACATTTGGCAAACTCTAATAATCTCTCTCTCTCTCTCTCTCATATAATTATCAGAGAACAAATTTCAGTCAAACGTGACTAGGACAAAAGGTTGGGTATACACACACACACATATATATAATTATACAGTAGTCTTCTCTCTCTCTCTCTCTCTCTGTTCCAAGACACCTGTGGATGCTTGAAACCATGGATTCTCTCTCTCTCTCTCTCTCCCATGTTTTTCCTATACATACATGTGTATGATAAAATTCTCTCTCTCTCTCTCTCTCCAGATTTATAACTACTAATAAAATAGAATAATTATAATCTCTCTCTCTCTCTCTCTCTTTGCACTTTGGAGCCATTATTAAATAGGAAAAGGATTCTCTCTCTCTCTCTCTCTCGATGCTGTGTCTAACTGATAACCAAGGTGGCTACTAATCTCTCTCTCTCTCTCTCTCATGTACAACATGGATACACTAGACAAAGGGATGACTCTCTCTCTCTCTCTCTCTCTCAAGGACAGCTTGAGAGTTCATCATACTACTTAGAATGGGGCATAATTTAAAACTTATGAATTGTTTGTTGCTGGAATTTTCCATTTAACATTTTTTGGACGGAAGTTGACCATGGACAACAGAAACTACAGAAAGCAACACTATGATAAGAGGGGGCTACTGTATTTAATCTAATATTAGGCTTATTAAACAGTAAACCTAAGACTAAAACTAAGGTAAGCAAGGTAGAACTATATGAAATGCTATCTGCTATCTGTGTGTATACTCTCTCTCTCTCTCTCTCTCATGTTTGACTGAAATTTGTTCTGATAATTTCATCAAATCTCTCTCTCTCTCTCTCTCTGCTACCTATTCTGCTGTGACAATGCAGAAATCATAGAACTGTACTCCATTTCCAACCTGTGGATCTCTCACTAAAGAAGAAAAAATTACATGTTCTCTCTCTCTCTCTCTCTCAATGTTATAAAATTAGGAAACCAGAGAAATAAATGAATCTCTCTCTCTCTCTCTCTCGAAGACTTCCGTTCTGTTTTCAAGCCTGGTGGTGGGGTCTCTCTCTCTCTCTCTCTCGAGCCCAGGGTTCACAGCATGGTATATTCACCAATGATCTCTCTCTCTCTCTCTCTCCGTCCCAAAGGATGTATTCTTAGGGTAGTATAAAATAACTTTTTAAAAAATTTCACCTCAAAAATGCAAAAGAGAAAAAAGAAAAATTAATGAATCTCTCTCTCTCTCTCTCTCATTTTCTGAGTTTGAAATTCATCGCAAGTTGATAATTTCTCTCTCTCTCTCTCTCTCATTTTGTTCAAAGTTTCTGGTTTCAGACATGTAATGCTCTCTCTCTCTCTCTCTCTCCAATATTTTCTGGAGGTTCTTATGTTTATTCCAGGACTCTCTCTCTCTCTCTCTCTCACTTTCAAGAAGTAAGAGCTGGCCGGGTGCAGTGGCTTCTCTCTCTCTCTCTCTCTCTTTGGGAGGCGGAGGCCGGTGGCTCACGAGGTCAGGATCTCTCTCTCTCTCTCTCTCACACGGTGAAACCGTGTCTCCACTGAAAGATATAAAATCTCTCTCTCTCTCTCTCTCCAGGCGCCTGTAGTTCCAACTACTCAGGAGGCTGAGGTCTCTCTCTCTCTCTCTCTCAGGCGGCGGAGCTTGCAATAAGCAGAAATCGTGCCTCTGCCCTCCAGCCTGGGCGACAGAGCGAGACTCCGTCTCAAAAAAAAAAAAGTAGAGCTTATAGTCAGACATGAGTGAATATGCAATAAAGCAAGCCTCTTTGA